ACCTAACCTCACCCACGCCCGCCACATAGATTAACACTACTGAACTCCATTGCTACTATAGCCAGGGCCGAATTTAAGTAGTGCGGGGCCCCAAGCACAAAATTGTGTTGCCCCCCCCCGCGAAAAAATAGCTCCATCTTCATTAAATAAAAAATATATTATAGTACAAGTACTCTCTGTACAGATATAAATGAAAACTGATAATTTTTATAGAAATTTTTACTTGTGTTTCATTTTTTTACATTAAGTACATTATTTATGTATTTAATGTGTATTTTCCCGAAATGTGGGGCCCCTGGTGAATAGGGGTCCCCAAGCAACGTGTTTGTTTTGCTTGTAGGTAAATCCGGCCCTGACTAAAGCATTACGTTTGGCGCTGGTTACTTTCTTGTCTCTCGTTTTGCTTTCTTCTTTCAAGACCAAAGAACTAGAATATACTATAGTATTGCATATACTATATAATCGCGGTATAGCATTACGTTGTGCGCTGGTTACTTTCTTGTCCCTCGTTTTGCTTTCTTCGTTACTCTCTCCTTTTGCTTTATTACTTTCAACATCGACGAGTTAGAATATACTAGATAGAGTGGCTGAAGCGCCTCCATCTTCTAAGCAAATTGAAGTCATGTTTTGTGCAGTCAAAGCAGCGCCCTCTGGAAAACAAGGTATTCTATACTGCGGGGTATGCCACTCTGCGTCTAGCTTCTCAGCTTTTCACGGTTTCATCCAATCGGGAGCTTGAACGCCACAATAGTGACGTCACGTTTAAGCTTCTGATTAGATGAAACTACCAACAGCTCCTACCTACCAGGGCAGAGTTGAAAAATCTCAGTATAGCATTACATTATGCGCTGGTTATGGACGGTTACACCGCCATTCGTATGTTTTGACTTTAAAAAACATGGCGACCACTAGTTCGGCGAGCCTCCACTAAGAGCGCTGAAACTATAGGGACAGTTACTCTGTCTAGCAGATTCTAGCTTGTTCGTCAACATCCACAAGCACGTTCACATCGCCTGGCTTATTCTACACAAATGAATGAGTAAAACCAGAACGGTGTAAGTGACAGTTTATACATTCTGAAAAATGTGTTTATTTAACGCAACATTTCTGTAAAGTCGTGGTGCTTTGTTTCGTCATTAAATCCACAGCGTTTCAATTGCCCATTAAAACAACAAAAACACACTGAATACGCGAAATACATCGATTCACCCACTGAAATATAGACTAAATAAAAGCCTGTTTTTTCTCACAATTCATAAAATGTCATTTATACTATACCGGTTTTCACACCGGTCACACTCACTGACACACCTCACCCACTATTCAAATATCCTACTCATAAATTCACCCGCACTCACACGCACACACACACATACACCACACACTCTCGCTCGACGCATGCATCACACATCCACCCATCCTTATACATCACACTCACCCAATACCCCTCACATCACATACACTGACTCATCTCACACACCATTCACTACCTCAAAAACACTACTCCATGCTCCATTCACATCACGCGTGTTCATCAAATTCATTTCTAGACGGCGCATATTGATAACTTAAAACATTGCCAAAAACGATTAATCAAATGCTTTAAAAGGAATTTAAAATTCCCTAAAAACAAAGAAAAATGACATAAATAAAGTTGATCAAAACCACTTCAGATGAACAACTCAAGCTGTTGGATATGTTATTAATGTAATTGAGAATTTTTTGTTCATATGAACTCAGCTTGCAAACTTTGGATTTGGACTTCTTTAAAGGAAAATCTCAGCCCTTGTTTATTGCAAAATCGGCCGAACTAACAATGGCGCTGTTAGACGTCACAGAAACCTTAGATTACACAGTTCTCGCAAACGGCTAACATTACAATATATGAGAGAAAAAATCGAATAGGCTACTGACGCATTCTGTGGTGAACATATATTGCACATCGTAAATATTTTTAAAACAAGTCTATTAACATGATGTTAAAATCGATGGGGTGAGCAAAAAATGCATTAAAAATTACACAATAATGTAAAAAATGACTTATTAGTCGAAATCCATGAAAAATGCAAAAATGTCATAAAATTAGGTGATTTCGTTTTTTTATAACATAAAATGAATGCGTCTACTAAATGGCATTGTCCTACGGTGAAAATAAATTACTTTTCATTAAAATCCGCCCCTACATATGTCTAGAGAGCGTGCCCAACAGCTGACAATTGAATACTTGGA